TTTCTATATATAAGAAGTTTTTATATCTCTGTTTTAATTGGAAAACCAATAACTTGTTTAATAAAAAAAGATTAAATACTTTGTACCCTTTTGAAAAACAGTTGGTATTAGCAAATTGGTCTTTGAAACAAATATAAAGCTAATACAAAATATAAAGAATGTCAAAATATTAAAAAGCTCAAAAGAATAACCAGTATTTAAAATATTTCAAACAACTAGAACGGCAATAATAATTTGCATTTCATTCTTCATAGTTCATTCAAAACTCTTTCCTACTTCTTAAGTCCTAATACTACTTGATTCAACAACATTATAACATTACTTTTAATTCCTTTCGTTTGCAACTTTCTATTTTCCTCTAGATATTATTAATATTTTAACGAGGCGTTACAAACAGTCTTTCATTGTTAATTTTAACTAGTTGAGCTAATTTGTTAGATATCATGAGATCTTCGAAAGTCACTTGTCTTTTTTTTCACAAAAGACAAGTGACTTTTCTTTCATGTTTTCACTAAACATAATAATATTTGTACTAAAGCTTATTGCTTGACGATGACCTAACAGAAAAATGACAAGACTTTTTGACAAAACCTTGTATTTTATACCAATTTCAATGGTTTTAAAATTCATCTAAACAATTTCTAGTTGTTTCTAACAACTTCAAGAATTTTGTGAAAGAGAGATCACATTTATTTGAAGAGACATGCTAACAGAAAAGAATTAGATGAAGTAAAAGCACTTAACTGACTTTTTATCTGCACCATTTAACAGCTATTTTTTAAACAATGGATCACTCAAACATTCTTCATTGAAATAAACTGTCAATTTTTTTTTGTTATTAAAAAGAGAATGAAAATACAATATGGTTTAAAGAAAATTTGAAAGTTTTCGCATGTTGCAGCTATTTCTACACAAAAAAGCACCTAATAAATTCATTTAAATCATTAATAATGGTTCTACTCAAACCTAAAAAAAATGTTTTGCATAAACTTTTTATACGGTTTATAGAGCAAATAAATGAGCAGATTAAAAATCAATTTTTTTTAATAATGATCAAACATAATACAATATTTTGAGTTGTATAATTACTTAGTTAGTCAACTAAAAAATATTATTTACTATAAAACATTTACAACCATAAAATAAAATAGTACGAAATTAAAAAATTCCCTGATTTTCCCTGACTTTTAACTAAATTTTTAGCCTGATTTCCCTTGATCATTTCTAAATTTCCCCAACTTTCCCTGATTTCGCTGATATGGTGGCAACCCTGGATAATGATAGGTCCTAAAGCTTTAGATTCTTTATCAGACCTATCTTTAAAAGATAGGCGCTATCTTTAATAAATATCTATATCAATTTATAACAACACCCTTGATCTAAATTAAAGATAATTTTTTGTGAATGAATTTCTTTAAAAAACAAATTTTAGTTCCTGTAAAACAAATAAAAATATTATATAAATATATTTAACTAAATAAATTACTTGAAACTATAGATGTGTTTATTTTCTCCTGGTGAAAAAGAAATATGACGCTCTGTAAAGTAGAGATTATGCTAAAGTATACTAAAATATACAGTTTAAGTCCATTATTTAAAGTTACGGAACTTCTTCTTATCATAAATGCGGACAAAATTATATAAAATGATGTAAAAGAAACGGAAAAAGTCTGATAAATACTATGGAAGTTTTTATTAAGATTCATATCCATAAGACCCCATTACAAAATCTAAAAATTACTTTAATATTTTATAACAAAACAATAAAGCAAACTTTATTTTTTTCAGAGTTTTTTTAACAAGACTTTTAGTGTTTGTATAGATTTTTAAAACTCGATTTTCTAAATTTATAGGACAAATATACTAGTAGTGAAAACAAAAATTGCTCATTCATGTTTAGAATATTCTTTAGATAATAAATAAAGATTTTTTATTTTATTATTTTGTTTTACAATAAAAGGCATATTAATCAACATTTTTTATTCTGGAATTGCTTTTGTCTTTTTCCGAATCACCGTCTAGTGGTAACACATTTTCTGTTGTCATTTCTTTTATAGCTAATTTACAAAAGATGAAATAACAGATATGAAATAATAGCATTTAATTATTAGTATAACTTTAACTAGAATCCACTGTTTATACAAAGAGTAGATTTTAGTTTATGACAAATACTACATTAATAAACAAAATATAACCCTAAAATTAACAAAACAGTTTTGTAAAAACTAAAGTTTATGTCATTAAAAAGTTATAACTAAAAATTACTTTATATGTTGCCTAAGCAACATTTAAAATGGCTAACATTAACAACAGTTTGTCATTAAAAGTCTTGCACAAACACTTTCTTAAAATTTTTAAATACCTTACATAGCTCCTCAAAACTAGTCTTCAATTCTTTACTTCTTCCTGTCTACTAATTGTACAAATTTTTTGCCATTATATTCTTTAAGTTGTTGAACAGTATTCACATCTATTGTATCAATAAGGTATAGAGTCTCACAGCCTTTCTTTTTTTTTTTCTCAACAGAAAAAGAATTCGAAACAATTTCTTTGCTTTTTCCAGTTATATAAAAAATGCTTCTTTGATTCCCTTTTATACGAAAAATGTAATCTTTTAGAGACGCCATATCATCACCAGATGCCGAAGAATAATATCTCAATAAATCAGCAACTTTAGAACGATTTTGAGAGTCGTCGTGTATACCTTGGATAATTTTTTCCCTATATTCCTCATAAAACTTTTTATATTCATCTTTGTCCGTTGATATCTCAACAAAAAGCTCTATGCATTTTTCTACAAGGTTTTGACGAATAAAATTTAAGATTTCATTCGACAGAAAATTTTTTTTCTTTACAAAATCTGAATCTTCAACGTAAACCACACCTATCAAAATAAAAAACTTATAAGTACAAAAAAATAAAAGTGATTTTTTTTCTTTACAAAATCTGAATCTTCAACGTAAACCACACCTATCAAAATAAAAAACTTATAAGTACAAAAAAATAAAAGTGATCAACTTGTAGAATCTCAACAATTAAACTTAAATCTTAACAAACTTAAAATATTGTTTAAATACTCATTTGAATAACTAACTCAATACATTATCTAAATTTACTTAACTCGAATATATATAAGATCATAAGAGCTAAATTCTTCACTCTCATTCATTTTTAAGCCTCAACTCATTCATTCTTAACTCTAAATAGTCATCAATGTTAACAAAAATAAAAAACTCAAAAAAAAAACTTCAAAGTACCTATAACAAAGTTGAGCCATTTGGGTATTAGTTCCATGCGGTTTTTTACGCAATCACTTCCAACAAATAGCTCAATCGAATTATTTACTTTTTTATCTTTAGATAACTCAAATGGAACCATTTTAGGAACAAATAGGATAGCTCTGAACTTAAGCTTGCTATCAACTGAAAAGTCTTTTTTTAAATAATACTCTTTTGAATCTGTTCCAAAACTTTTGTACAAATTAGCATAATCTTGAGAGGTAATAGAGTTAGGATCTATTTGTATCAATTTGTTGAAATGCTCCACCAAAGAATTGTTTTCCTACACCATAAACAATTGTTGGATTTGTCAAAAAACTTTAAATTAGTAACATGTAGTATTAAATTGAATGATTTTTAACTAAAAATCTTTTTTGAAACTAATTTAAAAAATTTATATAATTTTTTAAATTATTTAATAAAAATTACGCCAAATTTTTCTTAAAAGAAATTTAATCAAAAGAAAAAAACCTTACTTTTTTTTTAATCTTTGATTTACTTTTTTTACTTTTCTTTTTCTTGTTACGACTTCTTTTCTTCTTTTTTTTTTTTTTTTTTTTTTCAATTTCAGCATCCTACAAGAGTTAAATACTATTTGATAAATTTGGAAATAAATAGTTAAAGTTAAAATGTTTTTATTATATTTTTACTAAGATTTTTTAAAAAACAAATCCAATTCCTTAATAACTTATTTATAAAGCATCCTATCTAGCTAAATTCATAACTTGCACCTTGTTTCTAGTGTTCTGAACTATAAAACTAATTGGGTATGTACTGATTTTTTCAATAAGATTTTTAATATTTTGTTCTTCATAAAAATCTAAGTGATCTTCTTTTATGTGCAGTGTTATTTTTGTTCCTCTGCCGAGAGGTTCATTGACTGTGTCTCTTTGTACAGTAAGTGAGCCATCAGTTGAAGAGACCCATACATATTGTTCATCGTTATTGTTCTAAAGAGATTTGTTAAAAAGATTACGTTATGGTGTAAATATCAAAATCTTATGTGGTATATAGCACTTATCACCAGCGTATTACAATATGTGCAGACTAACGAAGTGAAATTTGTTAGTAGAAAATGAAAATTTAAAAACAGAAATAAAGAAAATTAAAAACTAAACACAAAAAAGGTGACATCATAAAAACTTAATATTACTTAACTACACAATATTAAATTAAAAACTACTTTTGTTATCACTTCCACTTTATCAGCCACTGAGTAAAACCCGACATCAAATAGTCGAATGATTGATGTATTTTCTCCAGCTTTTGTTCTTGATTTAGCAATGGCTTCAAGATCTGCTTTTGTCATACCAATACCGGTGTCAAAAATAGTAAAAGTTTTCTCCTCGTTGTTTATGATAACGTCAATCTTTAATTCACTTTCAGAACTTAAAACAGTTTGATCGGTTAAAGATAAATCACGGATTTTGTCTAACGCCTACATCATAAAATCAAAATAGACGAGTCTTAGTTGTTTTATTTGATAAAAAAACCTCAGAAAAAAAAAACATTAACTTGAGTGTAGTACTCACCTGTAAAGCATTAAAAATCAATTCTTGCAAATAAATTTCTTTATTAGAGGAAGACGTGTTAATAAACAAGCTCTCTGCTTGAAAAGCAAGAGTTTTAACTTCATAGGTTTCTAGCATTTTTAATGTAGAGCAAATTGAAATTGTTCTTTTACTACTTGTTACAGAAGGATAGAATTTGTAGTCTGAAATTACTGGCGGCAGTGCTCTTATTGCTGAGAGACAAATCGTTTGCTGATTGGTTAATAAAAAATCTAATCAATCTGATTGGATTGTTTTTTCAAACTTAATTTAAAGTTTGAATAAACAATCCGATTTTATTTGCTAGACTTGAAAAAACAATCGAAACTATAACTATTCTAGAAAATTCTGGAAAAAAAAAATCGAAACTCCAGCTATTCTAGAAAATTTTAAAAAAACAATTGAAACTCCAGCTACTCTAGAAAATTCTGGAAAAAATATCGAAGCTCCAGCTATTCTAGAAAGTTCTTACACAATTTTTGAACTCAGAGTTTTTTTTGTTGTTGTTGTTTTTGTTGTGGGTTTGATAATTTTTTGGAGAAACTCGCTGTTATGAAAGGATGACTGAATAAAGTGTCGTTTGATGTAAAGAATATAACTGCTTTTTAACAGAAAGTAGTAATGGAGTATAATAAATTTCAATGAAATAATTGAATTTAGTAACTTTTTTTTGCAGAAAATGATATATATATTTTAAAAATTGAAAAAGAAATTTAAGTAATTAAAATATATAAAACCAAAAAAAAACTTTTTCAAGTATCTTAAGAAAATTTATCTAGTTGAAAAAAAAAAGAAAGTAAAAGAAATACGCAATTTGAAGGGTAAATAAAAACTTTATTAAAAAAATTACTTTACATAACTTACATTAAATTATTATAAATTTAAAAATTTTTTTAATTTTATAATCTTATAAATTTAAAAATTTCAAAATTAGATTAAAACTTTCAAAATTATATTACATGTATAAATTACTTGAAAAGTCGCAACTTTGACTTGTAAAATTAATACATGTTTACAATATATATTACTGTTAATATATATTTTAAAACTTGTTAATAATAAATAGTTATTTAATTTTACTTCTTAATTTACTACTTCTAATAGTACTTTTACTAGTAACTCATACAAAAGTATTTTACTTAAAAAGTAATTTAGAAATATTTATATAAGGAATCGTCCATAAATTACACAACGCAAAATATATTTAATAAACAGAAGTACTAAGCTTTTTTACGCAGCGATTAAACTTAATGCGCTAATTTAATTTTTTATTTAAATTAAGACTTTGCGAGAGAAAAATTTGGACTTTTTTTGTTTAATTTATTGTGAAAGTTGGTGTTACGTATTTTATGGACGATCCCTAAACAGTTAACATTAAAACGAAATTTACTTTCAAATATAAAAGTAAATAGACGCATCCCGCATTCCAATGACGTAATGTTGTCATGTGTCGGACAATGATAAAATGTAAATAACAAACAGTATAAAAAATGAATTCTTATGTATATGAACTTCATAATAAAAGCATGGAAGTTTTTAAAAAATTATGAAATAACAATTTTTTTAAAAACTAATAGAAATATTAACAGTTCAGTTGATTTGAAATCTACAGTTAAATGTTTTAACTTTAAACTTTGATATGGGCTAAGAGTTTAAAATACTTGCCACAGTTTTCTATTTAAGATATAAAAGGAAATCAACAAGACTGAAAAATGAAGTTTGTGATTTAAAGGTTTACATTATTAGGTATGTGTAAAAAATTTAGACTATTTTTATAATTGATTATTATATATCATTGGAAAGAAGCTTAAATCAGTATTACAATATTGAAAATATTATAATACAAAAAATCAATTTTACAAAAAGTTATACTCATTTAAGTAACAAAATTTGATTACAAGGATTGCTTCATAAAACTACGACCATGGCCTACTAAATTACACGGCCGTGTATGTTACATTTTAAAGGCCGATTCTATGAGGCCTTTTTACACAACAAAATGACAGTGCAATATTAAAAATACATTAAATATATGTGTTTATATATATATACATATATATAAACACATATATTTATTCTTATTCCTGAAATTTTCTCAAGCGAATGCTTAAAACGTCCTTCCACACTACCATCACCTATAGCATTAAGAAGACCACCTAAAACTCGTATTTTTCAAGAAGATGAACTTAGTTTTTTTTCTGAAAATGATATAATAACTGAATGGAGCAAGTTAAACAGTAAACATTCACCAGAAGGTTTTTAATTCAAAAAACATCTCAATTGTGTTATTTATTACAATTCAATATTTGATCCTTTAACGCATTTTCCTTCTGTTCTTAAATCATTAAAAATTGACCATTGTTTATGTGCAGTTTTGCAATACAAAGGAAATAATGTACCACTCCCTCCATAGTTAAATAAAGGTCATAATGGCAAGTTAACTAGTTTGAGTTTGTTAAAAAATCTTGCATCGTTCATAAAAAACATAGCTTCTTCTAATAGAAATATACTTCTTGAAGAAATAAATAGTAGAATATACTATAAAGCAAAAGGTCAACCACAATATTTTGCAGATATGATCAGACATGCTTTATTATTAAAATATACATCTAAACAAGCATATGAAATTTTACTTGAATCGTTTCCATTGCCTTCAATTTCTTTATTAAATAAAGTTAAACAAGGTGGAGTTGATGCAATAAAGGCTGTTAAAACACTTCGTGAGAAGGGTTCAATACATGAAGATATAATGCTAATTGTAGATGAATTTTATCTTCAATATTGTAGTGGTGTCTATGTGGGTGCAGATGACAATGGTACTCTGTACAAAGGAGTTGTTGCATTTATGATTGTTAGTTTAAAGAAATCTATTCCTTATGTCATAAAAGCAGTACCCGAAGTTACCATAAGTGGTAAATGGCTTTCAGAACAAATATCAGATTCTATAAGTTCTCTTTCTTTATCTGGTTTTAAAATTCGAGGAGTTGTTACTGACAATCGTCAAGTAAATGTAAATGCATTTAATTTTCTTCATTTGAAATTTGGTAATCAGTTAAATTTATTTATTTATCATCATGATAGTCCAAATATTAAAATATACTTATTTTATGATAGTGTTCATATTGTTAAAAATATCAGAAATAGTTTATTACACTGCAAAAAAATTTTCTTTCCATCATTTACTTATAATATAAATGACAATGTCTATAATTGCCCAGCTGGTTACATAACTTGAAGAGATTTTCATCTTCTACATTCTAAAGATGAACAATTTCAAGGTAATTTGAAAAAAGCTCTAAAAGCAAAATGTTTCTCATGCATTGTCAATTTTCGATGAAGCAACATTTGCAAGTTTTAAAAGTTATTTTCCTGAAAGAAATGACATTTCTGGTTTTTTATGTATTTTTCAAAAATGGTGGACTGTTTCAAATTCAAAGCAACAATTTAGTCCAAATAAACTTGGTAATGCAATTATTTTCGATGATGGTAAAATTACATTTTTTAGGCAACTAGCTGATTGGATTGAACTTTGGCAGAAATCTCCATTTTTTACCTTATCTAAACAAACATCATCTGCTCTTATCACAACTCCGCGTTCTTAAGCAATGCTTATAGACGAGCTTATAGAAGAAGGATATTTATATGTGCTTACTTCATGACTTCAAAGTGACCCTATAGAGCGTAGATTTTTTCAATATTGACAGATGAGTGGTGGGTGATTTCTAGTAAGTTTACTAGAAGTTCATTCAGAGATTATTTTAGCATGTCAGACTTTAAATAGGGAGAATGTAAATTTTTGGGAAAAAGATTTGAAAAAAAATTATGATAATTCAATTAATGATGAATTACTTATAACATTAGATTTAAATTCAAATGAGATATCAGAATTAACTTCATCACCTGAAACAGAAGAAGTTGCCACAACAATTGCTGGTTATATATCAAAGAAATTAATAAAAAGAAGCAAATGTAGCAATTGTAAGTCTATGCTTGCTATAGATGCAAGCAATATAAATATTTGCCCATATCTACAAATACTTTCACGAGGTGGTCTTACTGTGCCTTCGCTTTCACTTAAGGATTTCACAAAGGGGTGTTTTGCAGTCTCAGATAATCTTTTAAATTTAACAAACTAAACAAGGTGCTTATGTCAAAGATGTATCAAGCTTTTTTTTATCAAAATTAATTGCTTTTTATTAAAATTATAATTAATGTCTTTTTTAGCAATTAGCAGAAGATAATCAATGCCACTGTACGAAAAAATGCTGTTAAAAGTTTTAAAAGTAGACAGAGAGAAAAATATTACTTTAAAAAAAAAGGAGAAAAAAACAAAACATAAATAGATAATAACATAAAAAAACACAAAGTTTAACCTATTTTTTTTGTAAATTCCTAGTGTTGTCAATTTAATTGCGTAATATACAAATATATAAAAATATATATTATAGATACAAATATACATATAATATACATAGATATATATGTTTATAAATTCATAAATCGCTAGTATGAAAGCAAAAAAAGGCCAGTTTTTCGTGAATACTTCTTTATTAATAATATTCCTACTCCTAATATTATATTTGTACTATCTATTTAGTCTAGACGAGGTATAGTTATATGTTTTCTCTATAGTTGCACAGCCATCTTTTTTTATAATAGGCCTCTTAGAATCTAGTAGGCCATGCTATGACCAATTTTAAAACATTAGATTCGGCTAACGGTAGTTTTGTAATGAATTTTTGCTATTATATGCACAATATTTTGCTTTATTTTCAATATTTAAACTTAGGTACATATTCTGCTACAAAATATTAAGTGTCTGCTACATAATCTTTTTCGAAGAAATTTGTCATACAAATAGAAAATAAGTTTTTAAACTCTTTTCAATAGGTTTAAAAATGTTCTCAACATACAGAGGCGATTCTACAAATAAAATGAGGGGAGATCGATGAATCCATAAAAAGTACCGACTGGCTTCGTAAAAAAAAAAAGTCCTCAAAACTAAAATTTAACCGTCTGATTTGTGATAAATACCTAACTAGTCGACTAAATTCGTAAAAAAGCCAACTGTAACTTCAAAATCACCTTCTTTGGGGAGGGGGAGGAAGGGGGGAGGGGGAGGGGGAGGGGGAGTTTGTGTAACAGCCCCCGTAAAATCGCGTCTGTCAATAT